GGGGTTTTCGGAGGGTTCTGGGGGAGGCGGGGAGGGCAGGCAGGGGTGGCTGAGCTGCCCCTGCGCCACCTCCCGGGACACTGGGAGAGAAACAGGCTGGGAAGGAGGGACGGTGTCACCCCCACCCTGGGGTGTGCCAGGAGCGTCACCCTGGCCCTTGGCACCATATGGGCCACTGGAGAGGGAAAAATAGGTGTCCAAAGAGCAAAGAGAGCACAGTCAGGAAGGACTCTGTGTGGTTTAATTATTTTAAGGAGTGCAATTCCCAACTCCTTTGACCCTCATCCTCCTGGCACCAGGGAGCAAGAGAAGAAAACGGGAGGGTTTCTGGGCAGACAGCGAAGTCCCACTGCCCCTGATGCCAAAGCCATCTCCCCACCACTCCCAGGGCACCTGGTCCTGGTCCTGCACCCATGGCCAGCAGATCCCACAGGGATCCCTGAAGGGATAGATGGTCCCTGGCAAACGCTTTCCCCGAGCAGGCTGCCCACGGGGACCCAAGCCCACCTGCTCTTGCTGCTGCCGCGCCAGTTCCATCTGCTGCTGCTGCTTCTCGAAGAGCATCGCGGCCATGTTCTTCTGCTCCGAGTGGGCCGTCAGGAGCTGGTCCCGCAGCGTGGACAGCTGGTTGATCATGACAAGTAACTGGAGCTCCTTCTCCGCCAGACTCTCCTGGGTTCCTGGAAGAAGCCAAGCAGCTGCGGGTCAGGGGCTTGGGGAGGGTGAGCAGCATCACCACCACCCTTGGGATGAGGTGGGTGGCCAGGGGGAGACCTCACCCTTCACTTCTTTGGACTCAGCGGTGTTTCTGCCCAGCAGCCGCTCCCTCCTTCCAGTCGCTGGACAGTAACTTCTCGATGGTTGGCATCACTGGCAGCGCCGGCAGGGACCGGGGTGGGCAGAGCAGGGATGGGGAGAGGGAGACGACGGGCAGGTGAGCACAGCCTGAGGCTCTGCGCCATGGCACGGGGTGGCTCATGCCATCCCGCACCTTTGGGAAAACACTGAGGGGATCAAAAGGAGCCGGGGGGGTGGTCTCAAGAGGTGACTCAGAACATTTCTTACCCTCCTTCAGGTTCCTGTTGAAGTCCAGCTTCTCCTGGCCGCTGACGGCCGGCTCGAAGGCAGAGCGCCTGGGCTCCGGCGCATCGCCGGCGGGCGAGCGGGACTCCTGCACCACACACAGCGTTACTCGGCACCCGCTCCCCGGCACGGGGACATCCCCAGGCCTCCGGGCAGGAGATGCTGGGGCGGAGGGATGCCTGGAGCTGGCCTTGCCCAGCTTACTGCTGGACCACTCTCTGCCAGGCACATTCCCCCAGCCTGACTTGAGAGCATCTCTGCTCTTCATGCCACAAAGAATCGGTTGCTGGAGGTTTTTATTATTTCTTTAGACCACCCAGCTCCCCTGAGCTCTGTCCCCCGGGAGGCAGCGTGGGGAATGGGAGGGCTGAGGCTGCGGGTCAGGGTGAGGGAAGACCCAAGAGCAATTAAAAAGGGAGGCTGAAGGGACAGAGCACGTCTGGAGGTGGCCATGGGGGTTCCACGCCAAAGGTGAAGTGCTCAAACCCCAGGGTGGACCCGAGAGCATCAACAACAGTCTGAAAGCCTTGGGGGAACCTCAGGTTTCAGCTTTGCTTCCTTGGGACAAGGAATAACCACCGGGGGAAACAACCACCCCCCTCTGCCAGGGGACGAAGCCCAGGTCCGGAGCGAGGATGGCCACAACACTCTGCCAGCCTGGCGAGACCCCGGCCAGGACCGGCGTTGGTCACAGCTACATCACCCACCTGTGGCAGAGCCTGGGGGTCGGTGCCCTCCCTCGGTGGTGGCCCCGGCGGGTCGTTGGGACGTTTTTTTTTGCGGCCCCCGGCGGGGACTCGTAGCCACCCTCCTTCTTCTCCTCCGTCTTGACGGTGCAGTTCACCATGCTGCCCGCTCCATCAAGCTCCAGGTGGGGAGAAACGGGGCTCCTCATGGACATCCTACAGGGCAGCAGGGCTGTCAGCAGAGCCATAGGCCAACCCCCGGCCATGGGCACCCCTTTTCCCAGCCTGGCCACATACTGGGGTACCCTGTGCTGCTGGTTTTTCAGGGGTAACACTCTTTTTGCCAGGGCTCAGCGAAGCTGAGCTCTTGTTCCTGAATTCCTGAGCTCAGATTTTTGCAGAGTTGGGGCTCACTGGCCAGAAGCCCCCAAGGAAAAATGTCATTCACACTTTGGGCTGCAAAGGGAACGGAGTAACAAAGCAAAGCCCTAAAGAAAGCGACCTAGAGGATGGGCTTTAGGGCTGGTAAGAGCACATGCCTTCGTGCTTCAGCCAGCAGCCTGGCAGAGCAACCCAAGGCTCACCACGACAGAGATCCGTGCCAGACCTGAGCCAGCACCCCAGGGGTCCCCAGCTTTTGGCTCACGAGCCGCCTTCCCGCACCGCTCC